GTTTAGGTGGGACGATGGGGTCGGTGGCACTGGCGGGAGGGGGATTTTTAGGTTTACCATGTCACCTTGGCCAGGCCGCTCTTCTCACAGGGTAATGACAGTCGCCGGGGTGGAGCGATGCTCTCGCCTGGGGGTGAGCATCACACCCTCGGTGCATTGCTTGCACCAGCGCTGGCAGTGGCACGTGAGCACAGAGGGTCCCCGAAGGCTGTGCTCGAAGCCAGGCTGTGTCGTGTCCTTTATCATCGCTGTTCTCTGGTCGCGGTCCTGTGGGTCCCAGTTCGGCATCGCTCAGTGAGGCTTTGGGAGGTGTTTTTTGTTGGTTTTTTTTTTTTTGGCCCCTGCGTGTCATTTCCCCAGGCTTTGCGAAGAGAAGAAGGAATTCAACTGCAAACCTAGACTGGGGTGGTCCTATCCCTTGGAAATCACGCGCCGGGACCAGGGTAGGAGGAGGATGGCAAAGCTGCGACATTCCTCTGAAATAGGGCAGAAAAAAGGTCCGCCCTCCCCCCCAGCTCCATTGCTCTCCATCCCAGCTCCTCGCACCTCCCTTCCTCTCCCAGCACTGGATTTAAACACTCCGTGGGTCCCTTCTGGGCTTGCACGTGCCTGTCTTGAGGCAGAGCCCCATGGCATCTCCCTGCCTAATTCCTTTGGGCACCGACCCACCAGCAGCCCCGGGGCTTGGAGCTGCACAAACCAACTGGGTTTTGTTCATCTCCCAGTGCTGGCAGCGGCTTTACCCCTGCACGGCGGGTCCCACCACCCACTGTTCTCGCAGTGTCCACGTGCTGGGGTGGTCGGTAGGTTTTGCCTCCTTCTTAGAGAGCTGAGGCATCGCAGGGGTTGGCGCAGGTGGAGGAAGCAGCAAAACTGGGCAGTTCCCTGGCTGTGGAACCAGCAGAAACGCTGGTTTCAAAGGCAGATCATGGATGAAAGCTGCTTGCACGGTATGCGCATCTACAGGTGCATCATTCAGATCTTCCCCAGCATTTCTTTTTAGTAAAAAAAGGCCTTTTCCAAAGTTTCAGGGCACCAGGGGTTTCTTGTGGCGTTTCCACACGTGGCTCCAGCCAACTCTTTCTTCACTGATGATATTCCCCAGCTGGTGTCTCCAGCGGGAAGACGTGGATTTGTTGTACGCCAGGTGCCCATGGGGAATATAGATGTGCTGGAAGATGCTTTCTTGCAAGAAAGCCCATAGTCAGCTACGCGCTACCTTGTCTGTCTGGTTGAGCTTTGCGGTTAAAGTCAGCCCAGGAGCTGCGGGACCTGAAAGATGCTGAAGCTCATGATGATGCTGACGCTCATGATATTGTAGTAAGGCTCCCAGGCAGCCAACAAGCCCCGTTTTAGTCCAGAGCCTTCATTCACTCTCAAACTCGACCCAGCAGTGGCAAGTCAGGAGTGGGATCCCCCAGGCTGCGCCTGGGCAGTGGTGGGACGTGCAGCTGGGCTGATGTCCACGTGCGGATGGAGCCGAGCGCTCATGCTGTGGGACCTGGGGCTCTTGGTTTGTATTTTGGCTATTCCTTTCCTGGATTTGTTCCTCTGGAGCAGTGACTGGGTTGTGGAGTGGGTGTGGGGCTGAGTTTGAGGCTTGTTTTGTTTTCGAAGCTCTTCAGGGCTCCGTGCTGAGAAGCCAACAACCTTGGCGGTGGTGGGTGTGCCTGGGAAGCCTGGGCACCCACAGCAGCTGCCAGCACTTTAAAATACCTTTTGCGGCCTTCGTTCAAGGGCAGGGCTTTATCGTGAGCTCGTCAGCCAGTGGTTAAACCCTTTCTGGCCCTCTGCGAGCAGAATGCGCTTACTGATGGTAAGCAGAGCCAGGGGCCACCATTGCCCCAGCACAGTCTGGTTTTCTTTCTGGTGACGTCCGGAGAAATACCTTGTCCCGGACGTGGCTCTCTCTCCCCTGTGCCACTGGTGTGCCAGCACTGGGTTTTGGGGGCAGGACAGACCTGCCCAGAGCCAGAGCTGATGTCTGAGCAATGCATCTTCATTTATATTTGTTTTCCAGAGCTGGAATTCCCTTCATCTTGGCCATGCCTTGCTCCTAAGGAGTGTGTTGCTTGGGGCAGTCCCTGCGAAGCTCTCCGCTCAGCCGTGCGCAGGATGGGCGGCAGCAGGGCACGGGTGGGGGGGCCGAAACGCTGTCGTCTCCCCGTGTCATTTAGCGGGAGCAATTCTGGTCGGGATGGACGCCCACCCGGTAGAGGAATTTCTGCAATTTCTTTACAGGAGCCATGTGAAAGGGGACATCTGGGACTCTTCACATGCCGAGGAGTGCCCAGCTCACAGGCTACCTGCACAAAGTCTTTTGGACGGGACTTTTTTGGCTGTCGCACCCATGCAGTGGTGATTACCTGGGCCGGCGGATTTCTTGTCCCCACCAATTCCCTCCCAGCAAGCGTAGAACTGAGAAAATATTCTCAAAAAGCTCTGGCAGCTCCGTTCACAGATCTGCCACCTTCTGCTTCCAGGCACGCTCTCCAGCGCTGTGCCCGGGAGAAAAGCGAGTTACAGCTGAGGGAGGGAGGCACAATGCCGCAACGCACAGCTGTGTGACGGTCCGTGGCGTGCATCCTGGCCTCCCTCCTGTTAAAACACAGCCTGGGATGGTCGGAAACGAGATGGCGCTGGCAGCGATGCGAGGAGGCAGCTCTGAGCCCCAACTGCAGGTGCTGGAGGGACTGGCGGAGGAGTTCCCCACTCCATCCCTGCAAA